CGTTGCCTACGAAATCAACTTCCGATATGACTCCACTATTCCGGCTTTCAGGCGTCACGTTACAATATTATGTCACGGCCGATTTCTTCCACGGCCATTCCAATTCATAATTCACTTATCCTTCGGTGCTGTTTCGTCTAGGGGCACACGGTAGCATAGTTGGTTGAGGCACTATACTACAAGCCGGAAGGTCCCGATGAGGAGTATATTCTTCAATTTACCTAATCATTCCAGCCGCAGTTATGGCCCTGGGGTTGAATGAGCCTCTAACAGACATGAGCACCAGGAATCTTCCTGGGGGGTAAAGGGCCGCCGGCGCGTAAAACTCACAACCTTACCACCATCTGTGAGCCGATTGTCTAGAGAAAATATATGAGCCTCGACGTCTCACAGCCCTATGGGCCTTCACGGACTGTTACAGGAATAAGTTACCTTTTTCTACCTTACTGTATCGTCTGAGGTACAACGTCAGTAAGTACACCACAGATACAAAAATATATTACTTGTTACTTATGATCGAATTGGGTGCGGTTCGAATTAGGCAGGGGTCTGATATCATTAAGGTAGGTCCTGTTGCACTGGTATTTGGGAACGAAAGAAAAAAAAGGCGGCAGTTGCTTCACGAAGAAATGAAAGGCGTATTTATATAGGGGAATGATTATGTAATTTAGTTCATAATATTTTGCCTTCTTAATGCTTTCTATCCAGAAAGATAAAATTATATAAAACTGAAATCTTACGTTTTGCTTCATATGGGTGTAGGAGCCGGTGTAGCGACGAGCTGGACGACAGTTCGAGTCCCGATAGGTTCAAGAATTGTCTCCACTTGTTCAGAGAGATTCTGCCGCCCACACAGCCTCCTATCCAGTGTGTACCGGGGGCTCTCCCCCGGGGGGGGAGTAAATGGCCGAGGCGTGAAGCTGACCACTCACCTCCAAATATTGCCGAGGTCAAGAATACATGGATCTACACATCCATTTCCCCATACGCCTTCATGGCGTATTGCTTAATTAAGCACAGGGACAACTTTGCCTTCATATGGGTTTGAACTTTGCCTCTCACATTAAGGAATCGCGTCGATTTTTTGTGTTCGAGAAAAGGGCGCTGAGGAGAATATAGTACCTGACAAGGAAGACGGAACATGAGATTAGAGAAAGTTGCAGCGAGAGACTTCACAATTTGTACTCAATTCCGTGCGGAATAGGAAATCTCTTCACTAAGTGATTCTTACCTTCTAAAGAAGGACTCGGGTCTTCTCATTTATTTATAAACTCTCGGTTTACAGAGAACAGCTCTGTTTACTCATGCGATATGACGCGACAAGATCAGGTAGCCAATAAGGATGCAGTATTTGCCTCCTCCGTGATTCCATCCCCTATTAGATGCTCAAGAACGCAGTGTTCTTTAATGCCTTATTCCTTACGCTTCTCTTGCTATAAATTTGGGGATAATATTATAATTTAGAAATTCAGAACATGAACAGACATACAAATGCTTAATATTGTATTGTAGCATCCTGTTGCGCGTCATTTATTATTCAACATATGTCGCTGGTTCACCGTCTTAACGTACAACGCGTCCTTCCAACGAGGTCTAGACATAGCACAACAGGAAGAGACACCCAGCACCATCTCGTAGTGCAGACACAATACAACAGGAAACGACACAGAACCGCGAAATACACGAGCGCGTAGATGGGACTGCACATCGAGTATTAAAATCAAAGAAGCGGAAACACAGCAGTTTCCACCTAAATATTTTATAAAACCTGAGGATGGCCAATGTCGGTCGAAACATGTAGTGTACAGAAGTTTTATATAAATTTTAGAAGGACGCGTTGCACGTAAGACGGTTAATCAGTGGCGATTGTTGAATAAATCAGATCCTTTTTTTTTCTTTCTAGCTGGCTGTTGGAAGAAACAAAATTAGAAACTTGTTAATTAAGCCTCTTCCATAATAAATTTTCCGTCCTGCTCCTCTTTGCGTCTTTTCTTTTTTCTCAGTTTTCACGTTACTGTTGAACGAAAGAAGATATCTTCCCCACCCCACCGCCAACCGAAGGAAACAAATGACAGTAGGACTACGAAGTGACGCAAACTTCTGTAGCTAATTAACTGCTGAATTCTATGTCAGCATTTAATCATTTATGTAAATTTGAACTGAATATCGTGTCTCGCGCTAGTTATTAGCATTCTGTGACCTAAATCCCCTTTGTTTATATACAGAATACATAACAAATTGGACCGTTAAACAAGTTTCCATTTTATTTTCTTCTTGTCATGCATATTACTGTTCTACATCCGCGAAGAAATTAAGTGCAAAGTTCTTGCTACCGTTCAGTTCAGAATCTTTCGACTTCGCCTCTCCCATTAAAGACATAAACATTACAATATTCATAAACCTTTTGTTTGCTTGTTTTGTAAGAATGCGAGACTTTATCTTCCGCCATAAGAGAACAACATATATTGAAGGTGCTGCGGAGATTCGAACCTAAGACTCAGATAGCAACAGGAGCCTGGAAAAAATTCCTTAATAAGGATCTTCGTAATTCGTATTCAAACCAAATATTATTACGACAGACGGGTCGGAATTCGAGTCCCGGTAGGATCAAGAATTTTTCCCACGGCCACACTGGATCTGGGGCCCACCAAGCCTCCTATTCAGTGGCTACCGATGACTATCCCCGGAAGTGAAGCGACCGGGGCGTGAGGCTGACCGCCTCCATCTAGTGACGAGGTCAAGAAAACATGGGTCTATGCGTGCCCACCTAGTGAAGAAATTCCCTGCATTTTATGGGACAGAAGAATCAGTACAATGTTCACATGAACCTGTTGCTGTACCCTATTCTGGGCCAAATAAATGCAGTCCACACTCTCCCATTCTATTTTTTAAGATCCATCTTCTTCATAACCATGCCTTCGTCTTACACTTGTCTTTCGTCCAGGTTTTCCAACGAAAATATTATATGCAGATGGCTGCTCTCCCATGCATTCTATATGTCGTACCAATCTCATCCTTTCTCATTTGATCACCTTATTATAATGTCTGGTGAGAATTGCAGATTGTGTTAAGTTTGTCTGCAGAACATCGTTTCACGTGACACGTTAGGGGGAGTGGGATTCGATCCGCCATATGCAAACATGACTGTACGTATGTACATGGTTCTTAAATCAGTCCGTTTTTGTAGCAGGCCATTATGACGCTTGTGGTAATTTTAAGTGAACAATAAGGAAAACCAAGGTAAAAATATAAAGTTTCCCCTGTGCTTAACTAATTAAGCACTGTAACCTGAAGACATAGACCGCATCTGTGGCTACAGATCCAGAGGTTCGGGTTCGATTCCCGGCACTACCAGATTTTCTGGGAAGTTGTGGGTCTGGAATGGGGTCCACTCAGCCTCGTGAGAATAATTGAGGAGCTGTGTCAAGGAAATAGCGGATCCGGTCTATAAAACTGAAATTAACGGCCGTGGGGATTCGTTGCACTGACTACGCGACACCCTCTGCCCGCTAAAGTTGGCACTAACTTCGCCGACAAGCGGCGGTCGCTCGGTCAGTATAGTTCGCTTACGGACTAAAACCACGGAGTTTGTTTTTTTACATGAAGACACATGGGGGAGTGAAGGTATAGCTTCATCATTTTTGACGTTGGCACTAGATGGAGGTGTGTGTGAGCTTCACGCCGCGGCAGCTTCATTCTCGGTGAAAGAGCCCTCGGAAACCATTGAACAGGAGGCTGGGTGGGCCCCAGAGCCGGTTTGGACGTGGAAAAAATTATTGATCCTACCGGGACTCGAACTCCGACCCGTCTGTCGTAATAATATTTGGTTACGAATACGAATTATTATGGATTGTTTTCCATAATTTCAATAAAACTCTATATATGCGATACTCACATTTGAAAAAGGCCAAGCCTCTTCAATAAGAAACAACCCCGTCTCCTCTTCAAAGAAAATGTTACATACGGACTATGGCAGTAGGGGTTCAGTTACCAAAAAGATCTCTGGTCGTGAGCTTCAAGGGGCTTGGTGCCAAGACGATCTGATTGACGATAAACCGCCAGTCGTAAAGTTTACTCTGACTGACTGAGGCGTGGAGGCGGATTCAAATAGCTCCACTGTAGCCCTGCGAGTCGTAGGAGGCAACGAGAAGATAGCCCAGTGCCTGGGGACATAACTGGGCCACCCTGTTCCTGGGGGATATAAATACCGGGACCTGACCCTCCAGGTTTGGCGAGTATGGAATCTGAGACAGTAAAATATGGTCATGAGTGTTGCGGGACTCGAACCCGCGATTGACTGCGCTGGCGAGGGTGAACACCAGTTGTAAACGACACCCGTCCTCGCGTCAGAAGGGACGCCCAACATCAACAAAACTCGCAACTGTCTGGCAGTAAGAAAAATCTTGTCTTAGGCCCCTGATCGGTACTTGACACCAAGAGAGACTCGTCGATTTAACTTAACTTTGACTTTGACTTGTGATGATTGAGTCAGTTGAGAGTTACAGTTGTGAGAAGTGAGAAGCTGGTAGCCGAGGCTGGGGATAGTTCGGAAACTCAAAGTAAGGGGAACGCCCGCCGTTGGAAGCCGTTACTAGGTAACGACTAGTGGAAACTGTAAAGTGTAGTCACGAGTCATGTTTTAAAATGTGCAATAAATCGAGTCACCAATCTGTAGTCACACTCATACACGTGACAATATTATTTACCGCTGGAGTCTGTATAGCAATTAATCTACGGGCTGGGGGACGGAGGAGTGGGGTTGCAGGTTTGGAATTCCCGGTAGGGACAAGAGGTTTCTGTCTATTCCGCAGCGTCCAGACCGGCTGTGGGGCCCACTCAGCCTCCTATCCAATGGTCACCGGCGGTTAATTGCCGGGGTGTGAACCTAAGCACTCACCACCATTTAATGTAGAGGTTTAGAATTCGCACAGCTAGACATGGCAATTAATAAAGCACGTGGACAATTCCACTTCTAATTTGTCTGCTTTGTCTTGTTGCAGAGGGCCCTTTTCAGAGCGACGCGTTGCTGGTCCCAGAGAACTGTCTGTTCGACCACATCCATAATCAGACCAAGTGTTGGCAGTTTGACCGCTGGAATGTGACGGCTGCGCAGTCTTGTCTGGACCGTGACCTCTCCTTACGCAGCTTCGCCATGTTGCTCCCTTGTGGTATCTCCCTCTTCTCGGGCGTCGAATTTGTCTGCTGTCCCAAGCACTTCAAGGGTAAGTCACACACCACCGGCTGTCAAAAGTTGTGTATGAGGGGTAACAAGAGGGTTGAGGATAAAACAAAGGAACCAACGTGTTTTCGGAAAATGCATTTTGTTCCCGCTGAAGTATTGTCCTTGTTCTCAGTACACCTTGAATTCTTGCAGGTATTGGTAATGTGGGATTTTGGAGGATTTGGATGGAGATCAAAGGTTGAAATCATAAGCACAGAATTTATGTTCAGCACACTTTTTCCGTAAGCCTTAAGTTTTCGGGATTTTTGTTGCTGTTGGTTACTTAACGACGTTTCCGGTAAACAGAAGTTATTTTAAGTTCGAAATTTTATATTCGACAGTCACACGTGACGTCCAAATGCTGCGGTAGCTTTAAAAAAGAAACGTCTGTTCCGTTTAGACTTCATTATAGTGATGCAGGTTTCATTCTTCTAATGTAATGCTCTATTGCAATACAGCTTTGAAGCATATAGTAAACAATTTATATGTGTGTGCGTATATACACACACATATATATATATTGTTTACTATATGCTGTATATACACACACGCGCATGCACACACACACACACACACACACACATATATATATATACTGTTTACTATATGCTGTATATATACACACACGCACGCACACACACATGTATATGCACACATATATATTGTTTACTATATGCTTCAAAGCTGTATTGCAATAGAGCATTACATTAGAAGAATGAAACCTGCATCACTATAATGAAGTCTAAATGGAACAGACGTTTCTTTTTTAAAGCTACCACAGCATTTGGAGGTCATGTGTAGTGTCGAATATGATTTTATATATAATATGTACCTGTCTTATTAACAGAGGACAGTATAATATAAATTTCTCTTTAAGAAACAAGACACTTTGGATGATGCCAACTTTTCGGCTCCTTCCATCTTAATTCTGAAAACTGGAAGGCCGATGTGGGGGCATTTGGGGCTCAAAATTAGTTATTTAACATTACATCTCAACTAGAATCATATCAGACTATGCAGTCTCTTTCTTGACAGAAGAGTGAAGTCTATTCCAAATATTTTGAACAGATAGTTGAATAGAAGTTAATGAGGAACAACAGGAATTCTTCCATCTGAGTATATGAAAATGTTTTAATTAACAGAACGAAATTACTTTTCTTAAGAGAAACTTTTGAAGCAAATTCAGAACCCCATACAGATATTACTATTTGAAGAATATAATATTCTGTCAGTTGATCAATAAATTATCCGGTTTGTATGGAACGTAAAGCTACAGAATCATGTCACAGCATCCCACCTGCAGACCATATCCTGAGCCAGATAAATCCAGCCCATTCTCTCACATCAATATTTTTTAAAGATGCACTTTAATATTGTCAGCCAGTTTATTCCTAAGTTTTCTAGTTGCACTATGCTACAAGCCGAAAAGTCGCGGGTTCGATACCCAATGAGGTCTTTTTTAATTTACCTAATCCTTCCATCCGCAATATGGCACTGGGGTCGACTAAGCGTCTAATAGAAATGAGTATCAGGAAGATTCCTGGGGGGAGGGGAAGACCTGCGCGTAAAGCTTATAACATAACCGCCATCTGTAAGCCGATTGTCTAGAAAATGTAGGAGCTTCGACGTCTCACAACCCTACGGACCTTCAGGGCCTGTTAACAGTGATAGCTTTAGCTTTCCTCACCGCCGACTGTCTACAAAATGTGGGAGCCTCGACGTCTCACAACCCAATGGGCCCTCAAGGCCTGATACAGTGATAGCTTTAGCTTACCTCACCGCCACTTTTCAGCCGATTGTGTAGAAAATGTGGGAGCCTCGACGTCTCAACCGTATGGGCCTCCACGGCCTGTTACAGTTATAACTTTAGACTTCCTCACCGCCATCTGTGAGCCGATTGTGTAGAAAATGTGGGAGCCTCGACGTCTCACGCCCCTATGGGCCTCCACGGCGTGTTACAGGGATAGCTTTATTTTACGTTTTCCCCAGTTGTTGTCTTCCAGTCGGTTTTACAACAGAAATTTTGTACACTATTCTCTTTTCTCCCTGTACGCCAGGTGTGCTTCCCTTCTCACAATGCTTGGTGAAGAGTACAAATTATGAAGGTCATTTGCAGTTTTCTTCATCCGAAGGAGGACGAAGAATACCGCGTAATGACATTACTTCCCTTCTCTAAGGTCCAAAAAAAATTATTTTATAAAGGATGAGGATATTTTAATTCTTAGAGGGCTTCCGTTGTTGGTAATATTTTGTATTATGTTGGTGTGTTTAAGACACCTCTCCAAGTGTGCGTTTTGAATCCCATATGAACTGTGACCACCGAGGGATAACAAAATAAACATCAGTATTACAAATAAATGTACAGCCTTTGTACAACCACAATTAAAACGTCGCTGAATTGACTAATCGTAGGACATATATAATCATTCATCTGTAATAAGAGTACATTAAACGAGTTAGTGAAGTGTGCTATTGCTGGGACTTAGGGGGATATGTAGATCCAATTACATTTGGTTCCGCTGCTGATTAAGTCAGAAACAAACTTGTTTTACTAAATAAATGCAACCGGTGCGCAGCCGTTGTCTCGGCGGTTTCTGCTAATTTCGTCAGAAAAGTTTCTTTATCAGCATCGTCTTTAAATTAAACATTCTAATAATAAAGTGGTAGTCGGGGTTGTCCGAAATGAATCAGAAATGTATTAGTCATATAAATGAAAAATAATACACTGAAAACCAGTATCTTGAAAATGGCAGCATATCTAGGTCTCGAAACGTGTATTGCGTATACCTCACACACTTCATTATGTCAGATTTTATTACATCCCAGTGAACTGAATATTAGCACAGAAATTTAAGAATAGGTATCCTTGCATATGTGAAACGGTTCTTGTAATTTTCTGCTGTATTTATTTCTGTCCCTTGTAGACGGGGTTTGTCTTAGTGAATGGATTTATTGACCACTTACATAGAAGACTCGGAACTGCTAATAATTACAGCGCCACCGCTAATCTCCACCATCCACAGATTCACCATAGCACCCGCTAAGCCTTCTTCTAGCCTGCTGTGTTTTCACCAGCCATTCCCTGGCAACGGCTTCAAACAGTGGAGATTCTTCAGCGTCACACACTCAAGTTCTTTATTCACAGCCTCCCATACAGAACTCAACTGAAACTGGCTACTCGCTTGCTTATAACATCCCATCACGGACTACGTAGAAACAAACCGTTTCCAACAATAACTTTATTGTTGCGTGCGCTTTGGTTGCCGCGGAAATATGTTTACCGAGCCGTTCACAGAATTACTGCTTAGCAGCTGGTCTGTATGTAAAATAAAGTAAAGGTATTCCTGTAACAGGCCTTGGAGGCCCATAAGGTTGTGAGATGTTAAGGTTCCCACATTTTCTAGACAGTGGGCTCATAGATGGCGGCAAGGTTGTCAGCCCTACGCGCCGGCCGCCCTTTACCCCCAAGTATATTCCAATAATATTCCTGGTACTCATTTTTCTGTTAGAGGCTGAGTAGATTAGCGCCCCCATTCTGAAATAAACGGAATATGATTCAAGTCACTGACCCCAGATGTTGAGAGTCTTTTTTTTTTAATGCTAGTGGGGTGAGACTAAGTCCCTTGTACTGCGGCCACTTCTGACCTATTGTACCAGCCCCAGATGATAGGTGAGGGTCACTGTGGAGCAATTGGTGGAATGAAGATTGGCAGGGGAAACCGAAGTACTCTGATAAAACCTGCCCCAGCGCCACTTTGTCCACCACAAATCCCACTTGACCAGACCCGGGATCGAACCCGGGCCGCCGCTTGAGCTATGGCGCGGCCTGTTGAGTGTCTTAGTTTAATGTTCATTTTGGAGATGTAATTTCTTTGCATGAGGCACTGTTTTGTCTTAGACCTGAGTAATAGCTGCGCTGCAGGTAAATTGAACAGCAGTTCTATTTTGTACTCCTATGTCTCATCCCTTTAGTTTATAATTAGGCCCGAAAGATTAATGTGTCATTAATAAAGCAGTGAAGTGTTTCCTGACGTGCTATAGTGTACTAGAGAGGGAACTTCATATGCGCACTTTGCGAGTCCACATCCGCCTTGTTTCCGTACTCTCTGCGTACAGACATAATTATAACTTTACCCTTAACTTCGAACACCACCAGTTGTCGCTATCACATGTGTAAGCTCGGTAGTCTGTTCTGATGTAGGAAATTGTTATACAGTTCCTCTACCACGGACAATAGAGTTCTCTGACAAGCTTTCCTCGACCTTGTACTTCGTCCAAAGTTACAATTGTTGAAGGGGGAAATTCGTTTTATGTTCAACGATTTACATCGTTATAAATGAACATGCGTTATGATCTGTATTCATGATAGCAGGAATATGAACTTGTTTGTTTATTAATTTTCCTTCTGCCACTGCATTGAGACATTTGTTTTGTTTATGGTATATTGAACCACTCTGTTAGTATCAAGACTGTATAGCGTCTGGTGAATCGGAAGGGATGTGGAAGGAACTGATCGTTGGTTAAGATGATAATGAGGAATTTGCGTGGAGAGATAGAGGAAGACCACGAAAACCTGAACAGTTTCGAAATTGGAACCTAGGACCTCCATATTACAACTTAAGTCCTAAATGTAAGGTGTTTATTTGGCACAGTAATGTCACGAATTAGGGTCACGTGACTATAAACGGGTTATGGATTCATGTATGGATTTATTGACCAGTTGTATACACCTCTCGGTGCTGACATTTACAGCGCTGTCTCTGATCTACACACATACTAGTGTTCTCAGTCTTCACTAGTCGTATCCTTGCAACAGATTTAACACAGTGGAGATTTTTCAGCTTCCATGGGCACGCCGTTGCCCGCTGATTAACACTCTAGGCCTGGACTTATAGCGCTCTCTTCTCAGCCTCCCCTTGTAGAGCTCAACTCTCGACTAACTGCTCACTTGGAACTCCGGAACTCGACTGACTACTCTCAACTGAACTCTTCATCACCAAT